ATGGAAAACGTGTGCCAGCTACAAAAAAGGCAGGGTTCCTTATCGCTAACAATTGAACAAGAACGAAATACTGCAGGTGACCTTTTAAATAACTGCCTCCTGTTTTGATATTAGATCAAATGGTTTGAGTTGTTTCTTATATACAATCAGAATCAGAATCAGAATACCTTTATTAGTCCCACAGAGGGGAAATTTGCAGCGTTACAGAAGGAAAGAGCCACAGACAGCTTAGTGTTGGATATCTTACATGCGTTAAGAAAGTACTAAGTTATTATATAATAAACAATATGCTAAAAAAAAAAAGATTAAAAAAAAAAAAAATTACATAATTTTCAAAAATACAGATCAAAACAAATCAAATCCTGTAGCAGTTCTTAGGATTTAGCAGCCCGGTATATATTACAGTTATTAAAGATGGCATATGTATATAAAGTATATATTGCACATACAGCACATATTGCACATACTTTGACGGTATTTAACAGCAGCAAGTTACACAGTTTACAAAATACAAGATACCTTGTAACAGTAACAAGGGTTTAGCAGCCAGGTATAAATTACACAGTTATTAACGGCATATATACATTGATTTAGTGGCCATGTATAAATTACACAGTTATTAACGGCATATACATGTATATATTGCACATATAGCACATATTGCACAAAGTTATATTTAGTTTGTATTTAGCAGCAAGGGGTGTTATAGTCTGTGTTGTGGTGTGTGTAGGAGGGTCTACTAGGGGCAGTGCTGGTGGTCGGGATTGGAGTCGCGAGCGCGACCACCCGAGCAGACGCCCGCCGGTAAGCGTGTATTCAAGTTTTAAGAGATGTATAAAAGTGCGTTAGAGTTAAGGGTTTAATTAAACTACCGGCAACTTGCGCTAGTAAAAACTGTCCGTAATCTATATGTATTATTTCACTGCTTCTCTCGACCTTATCCACTTTTCAAGGGGACTTTGGAGAATTCAATTGTCGTAGTGCTCACGAACAAGTCCAATGACACAATGAGTAGATTACGAATCAACACAAAACTACAAGGTAGTTAATTTCTCTTTCGGCCGGGCTAGTACAAAACGATAGCAGACGCAACCGTTACTTTTTGAAATTTATTGTAAACATCGTAACGAGAATGTATAAATGGCAGAGTTACTTTAATGTAATCTGGAATGACATTCCACGATGAACTCTGAGACACTGGGGTATAGATAACTATAGAGATTTAACAGTTAGTAAAAGCAACGTAGTTGAGATAGGTCCGTTTACAACTAGTCACGAAGGTGGTCGGGACCTACTGTTAGAGGAAACAGAAAACAAAGGGTGGGACCTCTTTACGGAAGGAGGGACCACCACGGCACGTGTCGGTGTTCTCTGTGTACAATATGTTCTTCGTCAGCAGAGAAGTGGAAGAGGACTACTGAGACATAACTCTCGTCGAGTCGAACGATGACCTGCCTCTTTGGCCCTCAGTCGGTCGTAGGAGCCGACACTAGGCCGCGCGGACTTGTCGGACCTTTCCCTTCCGGTCGAGCCAGGACCCCTCAGGAGCACCTGTGACACCTCCACCACCCTCTGGTCCTCTTACCCGTTCGGTTCGACAGGAGGGACGGACGTGTTATCTAGGTGGGGTAGGTCCTGGTGACTGACCTATGTCGTGGAAGTCGCTGTCGACGACGGTGGGACAGGTGTGCCTCGTCTTAGTATAGCCTTTAGGAGGATAAGGTAAGGACGTCGCTCCTTCTGAATANACCAGACCCTGGAGCGCCGGCCTCTTTATTTACTTACTCCTCTTCATCCCCTATGGGTAATAAGGCTGAGATGAGAACCCTCCATCGTATTTAGTCCTTTAAGGACTAAATACGATGGAGGGTTCTCATCTCAGCCTTATTACCCATAGGGGATGAAGAGGAGTAAGTAAATAAAGAGGCCGGCGCTCCAGGGTCTGGTTCTGCTGTGCGTTTTTGTGATGTAACGGTAAAACATTTCAGAATTCCTCCACGGGATACCATTGTCATTTTACATCACTCAACCCGCGAAATACACACACTCAGTACATACTGTAGCTAGACCCGCGAATTTGCGGGCCAGGAATTTGCGGGCACACTGTGTGTGTATGTATTTCGCGGGTTGCTAAATGTTTTGTGCGTGTGTTTATGTTGACAAGGAGATTTAATAACTGTGTGCTACACAAAACGTGCAGTCGCTTTCATTTTCATCGCCGTTTGTAGTAGAGTTAGCAGGGTATTTTTAACTCTCGTCCCAAATTCGTCCCAAAATTATTTTTTATCCTCCCCGACACTATTTTTTTCGACGACTGGACGTCCTTAAGCTCGAGTCCTGGCTGTAATAAAATGTTTATGTTTAAGAAAATGTATAAAGAAAGTAGAATTAGACATGAAGTTGACTTTTGATTGTGTTCTGGTTTTATGTTTCAGTATTTGTAAGCAACTGAGACTGATTTTATTGTTTTGAAAGAAGGGACAGGTCAAATACATTTTCTTCTCCCTGTTCCTTCCCACCATGCGCTTTCAAAAAAGGATACGTGTTTGGTTTTAAAATAACTGCCATGTGTGGAATAAAAAAATGAATCAATAAAACTTCCTGCTCTCAGTTGAACTGCTTCTGCTTCCTCCTCTCAGACGCAGGGCACTCCGACCATCATGTGTAACGAGTTCGGGGAGACGATCGCCATCATCGAGACGAGCGAGGGGGGGACGCTGCCGCTGGAGCAGGCGCTGGAGATCTATCACAGCGCTCTGGAGAACGGCCTGGCCATGGACACGGTCTCTGTGGACGCACTGCAGCTCCTCTGAGGAAAAAGACACACTTTCCTCTCTGAGTTCAGTCTGAAGTCTGACTCTAACGAAGGCTACTGAGGGGTTCAGCGTCCACTTCAGACTCACTGGAACCAGATGATGAAGTACTGCAGGATAAGCTATAACATGTCAGAATTGATGTTAAGTTAAGCGAACAGACCAAAGTAATTAATCTTCCACTTTTTATAAGACTATGAGGGATCAGTATTGATGTTATGGAAATTAAAGATATGGCAATTGTTATGAATGGCACCAATGTTTGTGCCTCGTGAAATTTGTATGATTCATTTTTATCAAACCTGTTAAGCCCCAAGGTCCCCGCCGGCGGGTACTTTTTTTTTTTCACGTGTCAGGGGATCTTAATATTTAAGAACCTATTAATGTGTTATACCAGATTAACGGGAATAATCTCAGCTAACTGACGATACAAACCATTTTTACCAAAACAAAACACAAGTCTCATAAGAAGCATCTCAATGACCCCTGAGCGAAAAATGCTAACCTATTACTGCACCGATAATCACTCCTAGCTCCCTTATTACTTATCCTAGGTGCACATCCAACACATCGTTTATGATCGTAAAGACACAGAATCTAACGGTGCCCACCTCAACACTGAAAGATACAAACTCGCGACGTTATCAACAAAAACGTACATCAAAACAAGTGGCGCTAGGTAGCCCACAACGCTAACATGGCTTACCTTCGTCTTTGTCTGGTCTAAACTGGTCTTCAATGGCATTAAAACGATAAAAACGATGCTGTAGTTAATCCATAGGTTAATATCCAATGTGGCTGCGTCCCCTTTGAAATGTTCTGATAATCTATAAGCACTAAAACTGCAATTCCGTTTACAATTAGCAGAGCAGGCCATTCCTACGCTCTGTAGCGAGATTGAATGCGCGAAGACGCCATAATCTTTAACATGAGTCTGTGAGGGGACGATTTCCCTTCGATTTTATTGGCTGTAACAGTCAGAAAGAGATGTCACATGTCAAAATCGAAGAAGGGGGGCCAGAGATAAGGAAAATCCACCCAAATGGCAGAAGAGGTTTTTTTTGCTAAATCTGTCTAAAAAGGTCAAATATCACTTGTTTTGCATCAATCTTGATACAGGGTAGGTTACTTATTGTTGTACTTTGGATTCCTAAAGCTTTTAGTCTACTAACCCATCATCCAAGGTTAGTTTTCACTATAAATACAAAATATTCTTTAATTTATAATATAAAAAATTAAAGAATATTTAATGTAAAATAATTACATATTTCACAGATAAACAAGCAGAAAATTTGATCAGCATTACAAAAATGAGAGTTACAGCCTGCTATAATTTACAGTTTTTTACCATGTTCAATCTGAATTTTCTTTAAAATAAAAAACATCTATATTGATTCTGACTTTTCTACATCCAACTCACAGGTTTATCATTACTTTGAGAAAAAAGATTATTAATTTAACCCTTTTAGAAGGGAAGATATGGTCATTTGTTCTGGGAATGTCATTTTCGAGCCTGAAACCTGAAAAACAGGCTTGGGGCTTAAGAGGTTTTTAAGGATGCCAACTCTCAATCAACGATGCAAATGGTCTTCAAATATCATTTTCAACACATAATATATATTTTGATTATTATAGCAGACCAACCTGCAACACATTTTGATCATCCTCAATTCTGTGTACAGTATACGACAAAATATTAAATTGTAAAAAAAAAATACACAAACTAGAATCAACAACCCTCTATATTTCTAAATCTCTATTAACCAAAGCTTCCAACACCTACGGCTTGCTACAGAAATACTCATCCTAATAAAGGTCTGTGTCCAAGCTAAATCACGGTTCATAAAATCACTCATCTTGACATCTCGGATCTCTTGCTCTGTGACCTGGAAACACCCTTGCATGCAGATTTTAAGGACAAACACTGGCATTTCGCTCTAAGTGAACCTCTGAAGCTTCCTTTGATCTCATTCAAAGAGAGAAAATAACTTGCCCTCCGGGGACTTCCTCCCACTTTCTCCACTAATCTTATTTGGTTTATTAGACGGAAGTCAAGAGCTTTGTGCAATGTGCTTATGAAATAAATACACAATAGACTGAAAATATTTTGTGTCTTTATATTTTTATAAACTTCATCATTCAGTTTCAATATAAAATACAAGATATAAATAGACATATATAAAATAATTAAATCTATCAAAATGAAAATGTGTGCTCTTAAAATAACATCATCCAAGAGTCCTACATTGCAGCATGACTTTTTTTCGCAAATTATATTTCAATCATCACACACAGTAAGCATGATAAATATATATTCTATAAATTAAGGTTACTATTTTCTTTTTCTAAGGGACTCCTGAGCTGTAGTAGATTGACATTCGATTCACATAAATTACAGTAAATACACATGAGGACAGGATAACACGAGTAGACTTGAAAATGCAAACTGAAATTATACAATCAATTTACACAGACAATTGTCGTAATATATATTTTTATATTAAGAAGATGCTAGCGATGTACAACACATTTCTCGTCAAGAAAAATATGAGATCACTATCATTTCTATATGATAAAAGTGAGTCTGCAGCCAGCTGGTTACTTTAGCTTAGCACAAAGAATGAGAGCGAAAGTAAACAGCTACCCTGGCTCTTTGTATTGTAAACCAAATCAGCTAACCTCATCTGCAGGGCTAACAAGCTGCCACAGTATATCTTGTTTGTTTAATCTGCACACAAACAGAAGTGTAAAAGTGAGAGATTATGTTTTTTTACGAGGGGCTATGTTCCAGGAGAAGTGACTTAATGGAGCCTATGCTAGTTGCCTTGCAACCTAACAATGACAACATAAAGTCGCTGCGCCAGGCCAAGAAATATGTTGGCACATAACCCCATGTAAACCCTCAACATGCCACATTTGTTACTTTTGGCTGAGCCAGGCTTGCTTCTGTTTCAAGTCTTCAAGCTAAGCTATCGGGCTGCTAGTGATATCTTCATATTTACTGAACAGACAGGAGTGGTATAAATATTTTCATCTAACTCTGGGCAATAAGCTTATTTGCAAAAAATGTAATGTGATTCAAAGTCATTTTAAAGTCATTAGACCAAGAAGTGTTGAGTCAAGATTTATAAAGTGTGAATTTTTTAATAATCATTGCAAAAGACTGCATTATTGAATTATTTCTGAAACTATCTTTTTTGTGTCCCTTTTGTTTTAACTTTCATAAAAAAGTGTTGGACATAATTTCCTCTTTGTTGTGTTTGAAAGCAAAAAAAAAGGAAGAAATACGTAATCTTTCATATAACTTTTCTTATTGCAAGTTTTATCAGTATTGCAATATTCAACAATGTTATTGCATATTGCATATTTTGCTCATATGGTGCAGCCGTCCAGCTAAGAGAAAGGGATGTGTGCTCACAGGATGCTTTATTCTAGATATATAGTATTGCTCCAGAACATTGTATTATGCGGTCTGCTGTTACTGGTGCGAAGTCGATCCCCAACATTATACAAGATCCTCTCTGTAAAGCTGTTGGATAGGGGGTGACCTATTATGAAGCTGTTAAATCTCAACACAAGCTTACTACAGCTGACTGCAGTCAGGGTGTAATTCAGGAAGTCCATCACTCAAAGATTCCAACTATTATGATGAGTAAAAGGAGGAAACCTGCGATGCCCCCACACATGGCCAGGCCGAGACGTTTCTGCCAAAAGGAGAAGTAACGAGGAGTGAGAACTGTGTTACAAATCCTTTAAACTATTAAGCAGCTGAATGAATGAATGAATTAAAGCATATATGGGTTGATGGATGAATGATGTGTTTAAGGAATAGAAGTTATGGATGATATGTTACCTCACAAAGTCGTTCTCATACAGGAGGTTTGGTTAGTCCGAGAGACAGGCCCACAATTAGTGCAATAACAGCAAGCAGGGTCAACAGAGCAAAGGCCAGGATAATGTATTTCTGCCAAGTGAAGAGGAGGGTGTTATTTGAACTTCAATGAATTGAACAGTTTGGTTGCAATAAAAAGGCTTTACAGAATCATAGGGTAGTTTTAAGTTATGACATGTGACTTTAAACATTGTATAATTCACACTTACTCATTTTAACTTAAAAAACGGTATGTATGAAATGAAAGAAACACATACCCTCCGAGATTTTTGTTGGTATCTCACTGCTTTTTTGGTCTCTTCCTTTGCGCTACATATGTATTCCACTGCATTCGAGACATTATTTTCAATGTTGTTAATCATATCCCCCTGTAAATGACAGGATCAAAATGCTTTTATTTTGTCCATCTCATATTCGACACTTATAGTTTCATGTCTTGTTACATAAGAAGAGATCATATTTGTTAAGTGTTATTATGGGAGAATAACTATTCTTGTGGTACTACTGCCTTATTAGGCCCATATTGAGCAGAGCATATTAAGACCAAAACTCATGTACAACAACTTCCTTACTTGCAATAAATAAGTACTAATTAGAGGGTTATTGAGGAAAAACTCTAAACTAATGGCTTATTACTTGTAGAATATGATCGTGTAGAATAAGGCATTAATAAGCGTTTTATAATAACTAATAAATAGCCAATATACTGCTAATATGCATGTTAATTAACAACTACTGTAGTTGATGGTTAATTTGTGTTCCTTAATATAAAGTGTTACCTATTAAACTAATAACACTATTTTTCTTTTTGATATAAAGGCTTTTACCTACGAACCTTTCCATTTAGCCATTACCTGAGTTTCTACCAGCATTGCCATGTCCATAAACATTGTGTGCAGCTCTCTGATGCTCGTCTCCAGGCGCATGATGTCCTGGTGTCGTGACTCTATCTCATTTAGTGCCTGACGTGTTATCTGGGAATCAGAAATGATCTGAGGGAGAGACAAAGAGACACAAGGTGAAAAACCTCATCTCAAAACACCAAGAAGAAGAAGAAGATGGACCTTTATTGATCACAATCACATGTTCCCAGCTGTACTGAAAAAAAGAAAAAAGGCCTGGTGTGGTGACACATTACCCCACCCCAAATTATTTACACATCAACCACCACCAGATGGCAGTACCATATTTTAACATAGACTGTGAAGCTTTAAACCCTGCAATAACAATATTCTGCATTCGGCATGATAAAACTTACATCAGATGTGAAGATTGATGGATTTCCACTTTCTAACATGGCTTCTAGTTCTTCATTGGTGGTGGCTTTTCCAGCTAAAATAATTTTAAAAAACATCAATGATTATCCAACAACAAACCAACCTACTGTACCTGCTGTTTATACATAATGTGTTGGAGCACTGAGCAGTTGTGAGGTATTCAGATTTGAAGGGGTGTAAGACAACGTTGTGTTGTACTCTGCTATATACGCATAGCCTCTCAACTAAAAAGAATCACAGAATTTAATTTTAGAAAATAAAAAAAGTCTATCAAGTATATATTATTGTTAAGAAAAAAATATAATCCAGAACTGATTTGTAAGAAATTTTACAAAAGATCTGAGGAAAAATGATTTCGGATCCAACATTCACAGGAAATTATCTGTTCAAATTGTATACTTGATTTAATTGTACAGTTTATCAGTTTCTTTGCCATTCTTTTTTTATATGCATTCAATATAATATGAAATAACCATAAAATGTGTCACTTGTCATAAATCGTCAGTTTACTCAATGCTAGAAAAAGGGGTCCATTACGGAAAATGGTTGGGGGCCATTGAATTAAAAAAACATGCTGAATTTAAACTACAAATATCCACAGTTGTTAACAACCTATTTATCAGTAGATTGCTAATTGTGATAATTACGTGTTTATTTGTTGGTAGCTCCTGCTGTTTTCCGTTTTTTAGCAGTAAAGTGTTGTTTTGTGACTAAGATTAGAAGTGTCTGAGGAACAAAGGAAGTGCGCAGCCCTCACAGAGAAACAGCTGCTGAAACTCTATAAACAGAAAGCTTTCTTTTCCTGGAGCAGAGTCTCCTCTTGTACCACCCCATCCCTGGAGAGACAGATCTCTGTGCAGGTGCGTACTGTATGTCACACACCTGTTTCAATGGCTACTCCTCAGAGAGACGGAGCCAGACACAGCAAAACCCACCACCATTACAAATCCAGCTAAGAAGTATAGCTTCTGAAAGGTGTCAATGAAGAGTGTAAGTCCACAATAGTAGGGCCGAGGTTCATGTGGCCGTGACTACTGTTTCACTGGCCGCTGCGCCCTCTGCCCGTTTCCCTGGCAACGCAAACACAACGAGGCGTCTCCAGTATCAGGCTCTTCCGTCTGCAGCGAGAGAACTGGAGCCTCTCATTAATGCCGGCCGCAGGGACTGGGAGAGACAATCCTATTTTTTGCCTTTCACTATTGTCTCTTTTTGTAACTGGTTGTTGCTCTATTGGATTCTGTAATCAATTCTACCATTACAACTACTGCTGATATAGGTTCAACCAAAAGTCACCATATATTGAGAATCTGGAATTTGGATGTGATCAATTGTTACTTTGCATTGTGCAAAACAGAGCTTAATTCTCAAAGAAACAAAAAAGCAAAAATATCCCGCCCAGCTGCTGGTGCCTGTTCATCAAAAGTGTCCAGAGAACTAGATAGGAAACGGGAGCTGTCTGTTTCCTGGATCCTGTTCCAATTCTTATGTCACTCTTTTATCTAGCAAATTCAAGCCATTGAAGTGTTCAAAAAGGGAGTATTTCCTTCAAAATATAGTCCAAAGTTCCTGGCCTCATAGGGAGTATATTATTTTTCACTTACTTATCTCCAGCTGTCTCTGGATCCTTCCTTTGCTTCTTTCCCGAAAGGACACTTGAGTCTCATTGTACTGGGTCATGACCTCCACAAACTTCCTGGACAGAACCGTGTGCTGAAGACAAGTCAAAACAAAAGACTGCAGTGTTTTAAAACGTAATACCTCAGAAAGCACTCTTGTTAATTGCTGGAATTTATTTTAAAGGGAACTATAACGACATTTACTACTCTGTTATGTTCAAATGTACACTCAAACTAAATACATATATTGGCAATTTATAGCACATGCTGTAAAACATTGAATGGTGCAGGTACATTAAGGATTTTCACAGTAAATCATTATAATATTCCTTATTTGTGTTTACTGTGGATACATCTATCCAAAAATATGTCCCTCCTGATGTGTGTGTCCAACTGACAGACGGCTCGTGTATGAGGAAGATATGATATATGTGTGCTCGTGTGGATTTGTCCTTTCATTCATCCGTTTCCTGACCTGTGTTTTCTGGATCCTAAAGTCAACAGAGGATCTGTTAGCTGCATCATCTTTAGGCATACTTTGCTCCATGGCTGCAGAGTGAGAGTGATGATGCATTACACAACAGCAGATGGCATCAGCTTGTGAGGTGTAGTCAATAAACAAGTTTGACAAGTGCGTCATTGATCAACTCACATTTTAGTTTAGTCCGCACCACGTTGGCGTTCCCTTTGATATCGTTGGTCAGAGCATCCAGTTGGTCCTTTGTTCCTTCACATGAAAACAAAAGGGAAACACGTCAGACTTGGTTTTGTGATTTGGAAAAGCCATGTCATCTAGCTAATAGCTGTTCCTCACTGTCTTGTAAATATTGGTTTTACAGTGATTTCATCTGGTAACTTGGCAACAACACTTTGGCAATATTGCAGAGGTCACACGACAGAACAAAGCACTAGCTCTTTGTTTCTTTCCCTGGAGGCCATTTCCACATCATGGATGTTAAACGTTGCACTGTGTTACATTAAGCATAATCACTGATGATGCCATGGCACTGTAAACTGGCTCTTTGTATTGCAGAGTCCTCAGGCTTACACACTGAACTGAGCCAGGACCTGAGTACAACCAGTAGTAACAATGGTCTCGCTAATATACAGTAGAGGAAAGTAACCAAGTACATTTAATCAAGCGCTATACTTCAGTAAGAACCTCACAAGCGAATATTAGTATTTCCATGTTATGCTACTTTATTCTTCTACAAGCCAGAAATGATATACAAAATATACATAAACACATGTTGATGTTCTGTTGGGATTACGCCACATGACAGTATTAAAAGTCCTTAAAATTGGCTCCACCTTTGCCATGTTGCAATTTAAAATGAGTTATCACATTAAAAGATCACTAGTTATAATCCAGTGATATAATTACTTTATTTTAAAAACAACCATTCTGCATCCTGTGTACTTTGAGTATATGTAGATGCGAATATATTTGTGCTTTTGCTAAAAACACTTCCTTAACCTCTGCTTTAAACCATTATAAATACTTTTTATCTGGATCTGATTTAGAAAATAAACATTTGCAAATCACAGAAGGTTTGAATCCCTGAGTAAATTGTTGCTGATAGAATCATTCAGAGCCCATAGCACAATGGTCTGTGAGTTTTTGTGGCATAACGAAGCTGTTTCCTTCACAGGTTTCCGGCCCAAGCAGCCATTCATTTACAATGAGGAGGAAAATGTAACAAAGGAAGTGATTTTCTACCTCTGTGCCTCAAAAGTCAAACTCCAGCCAAGCTGTTCACTTTATGCTTCCCTCACCATGAACACTTGAAATATCAACATTTAAATTCAAACGCCTTCAGTCTCCTTGCTATTGCCTTATAAAATCACCCACTTACTGTCATGTGGGTTGGGTGCAGTCAGTATCATGCTGTGCATCTTCCTCACCTCTTCCACTTGGTAGGAAATCTTATAAATGAGTCCTCTGACTTCTTCCACCTTAATGCATAAATAACACATCAGTATCTTGAGTCCAACCTGTGCACACATCCAGGAAGTTGCATTGAAACCCACCCTTCTGAAGAAACTCTCCATGAAGCCATCTCTTTCCACTGCCACTGCAACATCCTCCTCTCCTGGTGTCCTACTCTGTAGTGGGAACAATCTGTTACTGGCTTTTAATGCAGGGTGTTTTACCTGTCAAGGTGTTAAGCAAGAAAAGACACTCACAGCAGTCAGCTCAGCCAGTCTATCCTTCATCACAACGATCACCTCGTCTCCTGCCAGGGTAATTCTAGTTAAACTCCACTATCATCCTGTAATTCTCCATGTGTGGAGTAACACTGAGACACCTTGCTGTTCACGGAGGTCAAGATGGTCGAATTGAGATGCGTAGGCCTACTTTAACCGCGTTATTAACGTGAGAGATAAAAGAAGAGGAAAAAAGTTTGGATTCAGCAAAACGGGATCCAAAATACAGCTCGAAAAAGTTAAAGTTCAACAAAATAAAAGTCCAAAGTGAATGTGTTTCGGGTTTACTCTATGTCGATATGTCTCACCGAACAAGCGCCTGTAACAGATCCAAGGTATCTCCTTCCGTGGGATCCGCCTCTCTCTCTCTCTCTCTCTCTCTCTCTCTCTCTCTCTCTCTCTCTCTCTCTCTCTCTCTCTCTCTCTCTCTCTCTCTCTCTCTCTCTGTCTGTCGTCTCCTATGGTCCTCTCCCTCTCTCTCTATCATCATACTACATTATTGTAATCCTATTATGCTATTGGAAGGGAACAAGTTAGAATAAATAAGTAATATGTTACCTTAATTAAGAAAAACTACGCCTAAGTAGGCTACATCTGTGACACACGCATTAGAGATTGTGCTATAATATAAGATTTTCATCAGATGTTGAATATTATTTGAACAGCCAACACATCACCAGGAAGTTTTACGAGAAGGATTATAATACATAATTGATAAGCAGAGCTGGGTGGTTACTTAAATTGTTGTCCTTCAGCCACACGGTGGTGCTGTTTACCTTGATATGTATGAAAGTTGGCTGACTGGTGGTAAAGATTACTCCCCCACCTGTGGATGTCCTCCAAAAGGTACCCTCCAAACTGAGCATTTCACAAACAAAAAGTAACTAATTCAAAAAAGACGAAGTATGACTGAAATCTCATTTAACACTTTGGAATTCTCTTGATTTTTGTGCAGGTTAATATATTGTAAGTATACATTATGTTAATGAATACATATTTGACTAGTTGAAATGTGATTCACCAAACCCTTCAGGTCATTCAAACAAAGTTAAAATGTCTTTCGCAGATATTGTTTCTCCCTCGATGACTGGTTCTGTTTTTGGGTGTTGGCCTATAATGTCCTAAATATCCTAGTCACAAGACCAAATATGAATACGTTTTTTTTTCTTAACCCAAACAGAATTTGTATCGCACAGTGCGAATCCTGATCTCATTGATTCCCCGCGAAATATCCAATTACGCACAAGTAAGGCCATTTGCGCACTGTTCCAGCGCCCCTCCTCAGAAGATCGAACAATTACATCACGCTTTGCAATTCCCACGTTCAGTACAACAAGCCAGTCCGGAGCTTCTCCGCTCCTTGCCATATCCAGATCAGCCACAGAAACTCTCAAAGTAGTTCACTGTAGGGATAAAGATCACGGATTACGGTTTTGCTTGGAAGAGGAACAGGGTGTTACATTTTCTATCATGAAAGGAAAGCTTCTAAAGTTGTTTTGCCTCATGCCAGAACACTGAATATAATATATTTTTTATTATACTGCTGTTTTTGTTATGTATCTATACTTCTAAGTTTGGACACATGGACTGATCAGAAGTTTTTCACATCTTGGAATAATGATTGACTCCTCCCGGAATCATCTTTATTTGGGGATTTAACAGTGGTTGTTGTTTTCTTTTTAACTTTTATCTTTTTAAAGACTGTAGATTTATAACACATTTTTCAAAAGCTATGGAATTATCTGTGCGAATTCATCTTTTTACATCTTTTCTCTCCTTTATTAAGGTAAGCAATTAAACACATACAATGCATGTTGACTAAATCCTTTAATATTATGCTTATTTCAGTGTAGTTTTTTTACTAAGACAAAGTATAAAAAGCAGGATAGGCTTACTGTAAAACCTGTCCTAAAGAGGTTGCAATTCATCCTAATGCTGTAGATAGTTTTTATCTTAGCACTATGAGGTAAAGAAATAAAGGTAAACAATGAATTAACAGTAATATATTCATAAATATAACAATCTTACATTCATAAACAAATACCAAAAGACATACTGAGCCCCGGTGTTTCTTCATATTACATTTATACTGACAGTGATTGACTGGTATTCCAAAGTGAAGCTCCTTTGTATTTTATGGCATACTTTGTGATAATTCGGGAGATAAATATAATTGTATTGTCTTGTTGAATATGAAATACATTAGGGCTGTCATTGTTGTATAGCCAACTTTAAAAGTACATCTGATTTCTTTACAGGTTTATGCTCAAGTGATTCTACCTGTGAAGCATCCAGGTAGTAATTCATTCTGTATGAGTGATGGTGTGATTGATTATCTTTTTCCATACTGTTTTAACTTTCCAAGTTGAAATAAGGTGACATTGTACAGCTATGTATTGAAACAGAAATACACACTGTACATGTTTTTACTTTCTGCTCACTGCCAATGAGAATGTTTTTGATTTGTTCACTGCCCTACTCATTAACAGAGTACTGTCACATATCTTTTACAGCTGTTGGGTTCATTATTATCAATCTTTTAATCCCCCCCAAACTCCAAAATGGAATGCCAGGAAAATTGATTTTGAGTAATGGGACAGAGCTTGATTGGGGGAAAGCCCTTTCTGGATGCTTGTTTACACGTGTGCTCTCCGTGCAGGCCTGCAGGTGTTGGCCACGGCTTCTCATTATTGGCCTCTCGATGCTGTGGACGGAATCCATGAGCTGTGGGACAAGATTGGAAACAGACCAGGTTATGTTAACGGAAGTAACATAAGTATGTGCATACATAAACAGACGGTGTATACTTGTGGGAATGCAACACCTAAATGTCTTGCACTCTGCATGGTCTGAGCTGTTTTTCTCCACCTACCTTCCAGCCACATCCATTATGCTTTTTTTAGTGTGTGTTCAGAGTGTTTATATTGTATGGCAGCTTTATTATTATAGAACAAAATACCTGGCGTGTTGAGTATTATTATTTGCAGTGCTGCTATACTTAACTGCAAAATGTAGGGGATAGATCTGCACAAGAGCTACACATTCTTCGACATGTATTGAGTTTGCAGCCTTGTTGTCACTAAAGTCATTGCAAGTTTTCATAAAAAATGTTAAAGTTGTAGAGGGATCAGGTATAGACTTGAGTTTGATGTGTGGAGTCACACTGAGTTAAGGAAAGTCCTCAAGTAAAGAGGACAAGAGCCAAACCTCTTTGCCACTGTGCACTCAGCTCAGCATCACTCCGTCTTATACCTGCGCACCACGTCCCTCCTGCTGTCCTCCTCTCACTGTCTTCTGTTATGTGTCTGTCTAGGTGTGAATCACTGTTTCTCTCCGTTGTCTTTGTCCAGCTCTCAGAATCCACAACCACACTGTGCTCCCCTCCTCCCATAACTCTTCCTATGTGTATACCAATGACTCTGCCTACACTAACATTTCTGCAACAGTAGGTGAGGATCAATCACTTTCCACTCTCTGAAATTCATTTGTGCACCACCCACCCACTCCCTGTTGTTCTCTCTGCATCTACACAGCGTTTCACACATTTCACCTTGTTCTGTGTTTTGTCCGTGCAGCATGACATTAGATATGATTGGCCTTTTAATTATTTGTCATTGTTCATAACCTTTAGTAAACCAGAGTTGCAACATATTATATATTATTAACAATAAGACTTTGTATTATTACCCAGAAAGCCATAAAACCCTCATGTTCATTATTTGCATAAAAGCAATTTATGATTAGTTGACCATAAAAGGACTTTGTATAATTTGATTTGTTGGATGAACATACAACTTAACATCTGGAACCTTTTGGCAATCAAGTAGAAACCCTGGCTAGCAGACACTGCTCGTAACTTTCAAGCAAAAATAATGTCCTTCATTTGTGCTTTGCTGCAGACATTGTTGAAGGAATGGTCAATAAGGGCATATTTCTAAATGGAGATAATGGTGGTACGTTTCTCCACTTTGGAAAATACCAGAACTCTTGTATCAGTGACCCTTCTTGGTGTGGTCCTGAGGGTGAGTGCACTGTTATCTACGCACATGATACTTTCGCAAAACAATTTATTTTCAGCGCATTTTTGAGCACTCCAAGGTATTGATCATGATTATTCTTAATTCTCTCTAGGGATTACCTTCTCCTTTTTCTGGAAAAACCTTGAGTATGAGTCCCGTTTTGCTGTAGCGTCTGGGGGGAAAGTTATCTCTAATGGCTTCTCGGTCTACACCAATCACTTTGGAGGATACGTGGAGTTTTACACTCGGGCGAACAACCACCGATGGAAGGTCAAGATCAAAGTTCCAGGTACTGTGGATACATTTTTTGTATCGCACAAAGCTATATTTCCCATAGGCATCCATTAGAAAAGTATTTGTTCTCTAAAATACTTATATTTGTTTCTTCAACCATAAATTGTTAGTTATGTAATTGCATTCATGGTTTGGTCAACTGAAACCAGATGTATTTGCTGGCAGTTGATTTGGCAAGTCAAGGGTACATTTCATAAATCTTTTGCTATATCACAAAACATACAATTAATATGGACGTGAAATAAGATGCTGTCATGTCCTTCTTACTGTAAATACAATAACGTTTTGTGGTGAGTAAACGTCAGGTCAGATAACATTTAGAAACAACAATCAGAGTGTGACTAATACTTTGAATTCTGAAAATACAAATTTAAAAAATGAAATGATCTGGTTAATCTATTTTGACAAAATGGGGAAAAAACATATGAGGCTTAACGTTAAGTTAAACTTTTACATGCCAGGATTTGGTTCTCAAATGACTTCTCTCATCTTTGTTTTTGCTGCAATTACCCAAGGTTGTGTCCAAAGCATCATAACTCAATTAAGGGTTTAAGCATTCAGTTACAGGGGTCATCTGGTTCTCATACAATGTGACATGTCCATGTTTCAGGACATTTATCAGTGTTCCCTGAAGTGTGAAGAAAAGCTTTCAGAAGTGGTGGAGTGGAAAGTATATGCAGGTATACTGAGTAGCCTCTATCCACCTCTTTCTTTGTCAATTTACATCAGCGAACAAGCCTTTGAAATACATAGGAGTACATGCTTTCTCCTTTATGATCAACCTAAAAGAGTGTGCCCTGTGGTCGTGGACAATACTAAGAACATTTTAAATACAATATTGAGTTACTTTACTTTACAGAAATATAATTTCCTTTTAGTTTAATCATCTATCCCGATAGAAGATTTATAAAATAAACAATTGAATGTCCAACAAGTTTTTAGTGTATTATTACAGTGTAAGATAAAAAGTTATCTATCCCTTGGTGAAATTCACAAGCAAGTATTTATATACAGCAGTATTTATAAATGGGCAGTACTAAATGCAAGTGATAAATACTCATAATGCATCAATAATTATAATACAATATACCTAATGTACTATATTATACTGAATAGTTGGTTATGTAAATTAGTACATAGGTTTCTTTTGTATTTTAGGTACATTATGATTCTAATACTTCATGCCTTTACTTTAATTAGAACACTAAAGGCTATCCATGTTAAATGTTACTGTAAATCTCTAGCACACAGAAGTGAAAGAGAGAGTTAACATTTAAGCGGGGGTGGTCTTTGGCACATATGGTTTATATTCTAACCACAACTGAGATGTGGTTTTGGCTGTTTTGCTCCTCTGGTGGAAGTGTTTTCACATGTGTTGTCTAATGGGACTCAACTCATTGTCAATTCAGTTCAGAGATGCAAGGGCAAGTAAGTTCTTTGTAGTGTAAAATTTAATGGAGAGAGCCTGTGAGCTAAAATGTTAAGTCAGTCCCAGTTTTTTAGCAATTAGCATTTTCAGTAATTTAAAATTAGCTAACTTTTTTCAGGACGATTTAAAAGATTTGTTGAGCAAATGTTAGCATGCTAACATTCTGAACTAAGCTAGTGAACAGGCAAACAGCATGCTAAACCTTAGCATGTATGCAATTCATTGGAGCATGATAGCATGCTGACACTTGCTAGCATGGCTGTAGGCTACTTTGGTCTGTTTCTACCAAATTGTAGTTTAGTTCTGCTTCCAGCTTCTGTTAGGATTTGCTGTTATTCTTGATGATACATGACAGTTATCACAATATATTTGGGTTTCTGAATAAGTTAGTACATTTCCATGCCACCCATATTTAAGATGTAAAGCCATATAATATTGAAACACAGTCTCATGGCATTTCGTGTTATAGTCACGAAATTATTGATTCGTGTTCACCAAACATGATTTCGATTTTTTTTTTCGTGTCACACAGAATGATTTTAAAAGCAATGTAAATAATAACAAATTAGAAGGAAAACAGATTTAAAAAAATACAGATTTCAGTATTCTGACACAGAACGATTTTAGAAGCAATGTATTTATATTGGTAGCCTACCTAGTATGTTTTGTGCCTGCACCAAATAATAACAAATTAGAAGGAAAAAAAGATGACAAAAAATACAGAATTCAGTATTCTGAGTCTCTGAGCCCCATTTCTTTTCCTCGCGGACGGCAAAAAAACTCCGACATTATACAATTTAAAATAAAAGGGATAGGGTTAGGCGTAGTGTAAGATATTGAGAAAGAAAATATTTTTATGAAACACACAGCTTCTGGTATTCTAAGACCCGACGGGACAAAAAGACGTGGTGCAGGCACGAAACATACTGCCAATAGAAATACATTGCTTTTAAAATCGTTCTGTGTGACACGAAAGAAATGCGAAAATCATGTTGGTGAACACGAATCAATAGATTAAATTAATCTCGTGACTATAACACGAAATGCCGTGAGACTGGGTAGAATATTAAAACTTGCATTCCTGTGTCCTGCTCAGCTTTTGATCATACCCCATTTTCTTTACTTTCCTCTAATCAGCCATACTTACATAGCATTAACATTTACAGTGCAGATTTACAACTTACATTGCTGTATTTTTCCTTTTTTAGGACCTTACTGGACCCACATTCTCTTCACATGGACAGTAAAGGATGGCCTGAAGGTCTTCACCAATGGGACCTTTACTGCTGGTGACCCAGATGGCAGTGTCTCCGATAACTATGGAGACCCCTACCCTGACCTTGTCATTGGAACAGGCAACGACAGAGCATATGGTCACTATGTAACTGGTGCCTTCGATGAGTTCGTCATCTGGGAAAGAGCACTGCCTCCTGGTGAGATCTCCCTCTACTACGGTGCAGCCACAGGTAGGACTATAGTCTTTACTGGAAAGTATTTTAATCTCACTCTTGGACATGGCCTATTTATTATAATATGTTTTCCCTCGTGACTCTGGATCTGAGGAAACAGGGGTTAAAAAGCAATTTCCGTCCTTGTCCTCACGAAATTCCATCCTCAGAAGTCATGCATGACAACCAGATATGAAACTATACAAATTCACCCCAGCTCCCGTCAAATGGCTCTTCTCAATCAAAACATTTGCATGACCTTGCACTGTATAAGTGCCATGGCTCACATAGTTCTGCCTTAGAAGTATTTAACAGAGTGCAGAAGCACGTTGGGTCGCAGGGGGCAGATCATTATGATTTAATGTGACAAGGTTTAACATGCTAAGACACTCTTGAGTATTTTGGTTATCTTGTTGTTTACCTCCTTTGGTCAGTAGAGTGCCAACAACCAGTTGACATTCATTAGAACTTATAAATAATATAATTAGACTATGTGATGATGTTTATTGCCACTTTTCAGGGTATTCTGAGAAATGTTCAAAGTCCGATACAATGTCTATTCTTTGTTAGTTTTCTGAATGACCTTTTGTTGTGAAGGACACAAAAAATATGAAACTACACTATTAATATGCACTCTTGGAGCTTCAACTGCTCACACTGCATGAAACATAAAATGCGCACTGCCTTGGTTTCTTCTCCGAAGTCGTTACCAAAAGCAATATATTCCACAGACCATTACCAGACGCAAAGAGCCTGACTGTTATGGTTACAGAAAAATATGTTTACTCCTGCAGAGCACACATATAAAATCTTGCATTGAGCCAAAGAAGAACAGGAATTGTTCGGACAATGTACTTCCGTATATGGCCTTTTCAGGTGGCTAGTTAGGGCTGTTTTTATTAAATGACAGAAAATACCTAAAAATGCATCTTAGTCTTGTCAGTCGGAGTATTATGTGCTTGATTGTTGTTGTACATTGTAATTTATTTCATTTCATGACTGGGCATGCTGTGGCCTCATAAACTGTAGGCTGGGTTGGGATTAAACCCAGCTACATTACAGAGGCGAAGCTAGGTTCAACTAAGGATCTAATAAGATGCTACTTAAATGGGGATATCCAATCTGGAAAACACAATGTAAACAGGCCACTAGTGTGGTTCCTTAGACCATGTCATAGATTGCTGCTGGAATGAGTACTCAAACCAAGAAGTAGGTTAGCATATTTGCCGGTTCCATGGTCTTGAAGTCAGGGTTTAAGTTAGATGCCATAAACAAGGTCTGTGGTAAACATAAGATTAATAGATTTGATGGCATAAAATCGACATTGAATACCGATGAATACCCCACTGGTGAATTGAAGCTTTGACGTGTTGCAGTTACAAAAGCGACTTTAACTTGGCGTAGTGATGATGACATTGGATTATGCCAACTTGGTTTAGTTTGTTTAACAGTGTGTTGTGTTTACGCTTATTGATCACAAAGGTAGTGTGCATTTAAAAAAAAAGGGGGTATTTTCTGCAAAAAAAGCAAGATTCAATTGAAAACTTCTGTTGCCTTTCCTTCGAGGGAACCAGTGCAATGCTACTTTATAAAGCTCTTTGTTTTGTCTTTTCTAGGCCAGGCCTTGGTTTCTGCCACAACACCCAAGGTCTCCGAAGAAGTCACTTCATCTGCACCAACAGTTGTAAGTTTGTCAACTTTGCAAGGCTTTCTGATTAACAAAAACAATGATATCTTGATGTCTTTATATGTAAATGTGGTTGTATAAACTACATTTATGATAACGTATTTATAAATACAGTGTCCACAAAGAAACAGTATGTTAAATTTGCACACAGTTTTAGAGCCCAATTTAACACAATGCTAACAGTTAATTTCTTATTGAGCTGTTGTTTCCTATTCAAGAAAGAGGAGCTGGAAACAAGGATATTGAGAACACATGTGAGTATATCCGTCCTGTTTATTAAAGGGCTTTGGAGGTAGAAAACGGATAAAGAAAGAGAAGAAAGTGGAGACAGATGCTCATCACCATGTACAAAATGGCTCCCTGTAGGGCACTAGCCTGGAAAAGAGCAACACTGAATCTCTTGTCCAAAGAGTATTTTCCCAAACCTTGGCTATCAGTCACAAAACATCCTGTGTATGTTGGAACATGGCGCTCCTTCGGAAACTGCCTCCTGATAGTAAACTTCATTTGATGGCTGACGTGTTGTCTCCCCAGAGATCCACTGAAGTGAGTCCTCCTGTCGTCAGCCGTCAACACAAGGAGGACCAAAGCTCCCAAGACCCGGAGTCCTTGCCAGTGTTGGGCTTCCTAACCGCGCTGCCCAATATGACCATCCCTTACAACACTGCCCACAACCTCACACAGGTCTTGAAACACAGTCCAACACACGCACACACACACACAAGTGTTACACTTGAAAAAACCAGTTCACACACATACCCAAAACCCACCCATGTGCGTAATGATGCAACAGTTCCGTGATGTCCATTTTCTTCCACCAGGCTTTTCTCAAAAGTGTGGAAGAAGTGCTGTCCTCTCCAGGGCTGCCAGAGGTAAATGAGTTCACACTGTTGTTGTGCAATGTTTAAACATGACATAATGTAACATATGCAATTTATAAATACTATAATCCACAGCACTTAATATATCCATGAGTTTGAGTTTTTAACACTGCATATTTTGTGGTGCCAGCAGCAATAACATTACCTGGCAGTGTACCCACAAAGGATTACAGTGTGTAGGCAAATACGCTGGAGCAAATTGTAGAAGACACACTGCTGACATGAAGTGCTCCACAACATAATGCTTTGAATCTAAATGTGCAACCTCCTGTGCTGCACTTTAAACTCATCCTGGCCAAATCTCAGGGTACTTATATCCAAACACAATGTTGCCAGAGGAAAGACATTCTGAGCAAATGTGTGGTTTTAGCACATTGAGTGCTCAGAAAAAAGCATGCTTGTTTTTGTAGGAACAAGCTGAAACAGATGTTCACGCATGAGAACGCAAAACTTGGACACTAGATAGATTTGAAGAAAGTCCTCATCTGCTTAATGTGTGAGAAGATATTGCTTTGTGCTCGAGTTGATAAATGGCTGTTAATTTACAGTACTTGGTTTAACCCAATTGATTGCAAATAAGTCCAATTGTGACGTAAGCCTAGGTTTAAACATGTTACCATGCAGTTCCAATGTGATTTGTAGCTGCAGAGGTAGCTGGTTTACCCTATATTTGATTTTCTAAATAGTTTTCTTCTAAGTTAATTGTTTTTTATTAAGGGGGTACTCCAGCGTTATATTGCACTCCCATAAAGCTGTGGTACACACAAGAAACTTTAAATAGCAGCGAAATCGAGGCTAAAATTGGCACCAATGCCAGCGGTGTCATGAATTTTAGCCCTAAAAACATTGGATTCTGCGTTTGCCATAATGCAATCAATAGCTTACTTTCATAATTCCTTAACTGCCAGCATTTTTCACAGTCCCCCATTTGTAACAAATGAGTTATTGTTATTTTTGTAGACTTTGAAAGCTCCCTTTATAGCCACTCACTACACACTTTAGAGAATAAAAACAATTCTAAAGATGTGACCACAGGTTAGCTATAAGCAAAGCTGGACATTGAAAGCAGCGATTGAATTAATTGTGGACAGTTTTCTGTTTTGAAGCAGCAGTCCATCCCTGTGGTCAGCGGTCTGATCGAGACCGTGGACAGAGTGATGGAACACATGGTGACTAACCTGGAGCCCAGATCCAATACTCTGATCTCCCTGGGTGGACAATCCTTTATTGCAGGTCAGTATGCTGTCAGCCCTCCATAGGGTGACTCAGTGCTTGTAGATTGTGGTAGAAGGACAGGGAACGTCCAGCTGACATCATTCGTTTTCTTATTCAGAGAACAAATGCGGGTCTGAAAAGCAGATGTACAACCCCTGGACTTTGCATGTGGGTCTTTTTTTTGACATAATATTTAGTTTGCCACTAAGCTTGCTTGTGTATTTTCTCAAGGGTGTGCATCTTTTATCCACCCCTGATAAACCACATGTGTCTTGTCGCTTGCCTCACGGTCTGTTTTTCTCAACAGCTTTAATTTTTCCAACCTCTGACCCCCACAGATTACTCTCTGATGAAATTCTCACAGAACTACAACCTGCAACATTACCGCTTCCCCAAACTGGGCAAGAGTTACATCTCCGTGCCTGGGGAGGCTTTTACCATGCAGTGTAAGTGCAAATATTACAAAAAGATGTTCAGTTGCATGTCTTGAGTGATGCAGTCCTGGGCTTCGAGGAATCTATAAAAAGTAGAAGCTTATCTAGGTTGGGTGTGAATACTGCACATTAGTCTTGGTCTGATTCTGCCAAGAGAAAATTGTCCAGCTGGGCGGCTCTTGTTGTTTTCCAGTAATTTATTATACCAAGATTTAAGACTGCTAACACAGCATATAGTGTGGGACAGGAGTGCCATGAGAGCTTTGTGTGCCTTTATGGTGCACTGTAGGAATCCAGCTATGACTTTAATGTTGGCAGTTACCCTTTTAATCTGAACTGAAAAAAAGAGAGAGAAAGAGAGCACTTTTTCTCCACTTTTCTCTGTCATTAAAAAGAATGGACTCACAAAGCGGAGTGAGGGAGAGCAGTAATTACGGAGCGCAAAACTATTTGACTTTGTGTTCAGGTTGGATTCCCTTGGCTCCACCTGGCCGCTACATGCACTTCGTGGCCAATTAGCATACAATCACTGGAATAAAACTACTTTTGTAATTCAATACAATGATAATGGAATATATGTTATTGCTTGACACATTTTAGAGCCAAGTCCAAATAAACTCATAGTTCTGAATACCTGGCTGTATGAAATGCTCTAAAGGGAGATTTTATATCCTAATTAGGTCCAGAGCATGCTACACATTTGTGTATTTGGATACTTTATTATATTTTTCCTGATTCTCTCTTTTCCCCAAGAGAGTTGAAGTGGCCACCTTGAGATCTCTTGTGGGACTTTCTGGGGGGCATTCTGTCGTAATAATCTTTTGGAAGGTTAAAACTCTCCCGTAGCATGTACACCGCACATGTGTTTGACTTCAGCAAACTTTTGTTGTCACAGTAAGTGGGGCCCGGGTAGAGTTTCTTTGAAAGGAGGAACAGAAACATTAAGGATTTCCTCCAATTTCATTGTTTATCTTACAGTATTGAAATGGGACCAAGTTGCACGATAGCTCAGATTAGGGGAGGGGGAGCCGGACCTCCTGCTCTCCTGGTGAAGTCATGTAGAGGTTTCATCTGATTTCCCAACATCCACTTGGTTTGCGGCCCTTCCCTTTCACCCTTGTGCGAGTCTACGGCTGTCCTATTAGCCTGCCGGTGCTAGCGTGTGGCGACAAGGCGGCGTTAATTAAACTTCCCTCCTTTGTGAGCATTTTAGCAGCCCTGCATCACATTCCCAGCCCACTGGACAGGCCATTCAACTTCTGTATGTTGTGTCTTCATTTCCTCAGCTCAAACCACCATTGTTGGGCTCTTCTACCACAACATGCACAACTATTACAAAGAGATCAGCCCTGTCAAGACAAGGTAAGAGGACGAAAAACACCCAATGTGCAAAGTCAGAAAAACCGACCTTGAACCTTTTTGTTAATCAACTCCTACTTTTGGTTTAAGCCAGGGTTTTATCTTGGTATGTATTCTAAACAACATCTTTCAAGCCATTCAACACACAAAAAAACGTCTTACTCTTTGTACTTCCTGTGTGGGGAATGAAGTCCTAAGGCGCCCCTGCTTCCTGCACCACAGAACCACTGATGCCCGGGGCTAGAGTCTTATCTGTCCCCCTGCATATCTCTAATCTTAACACTCAACCTCAACTGACTGATACACCCTGCTATTAGCTCTACACAGCCCCCCCCCCTCAGTTTTTGTCTCATCACGGGACCAGCTTGTTCCCCTCCGTCTGCAACGTTTATTGTTTTGACCAAACGTGACATAACAATGATTAAGCAATCTGTGTTTTCCAATATATACTTCATAGAAGCTGAAGTACAAAATGTGAAATATGTGAATGTTAATTTTTAAATGTGGCCCGGCTTCTCCGTGGGTGTGAATGTCCCGCTCTGTTTTATGTTAGAGAGGTGATGCTTGTGTGATCCCAATGTCACATATCAGATTGCTTTGAAAAACTATTAAGGCGGCGCTGCTGCTTGTCAGTGTGATTAATAAAATATACAGATGATCAAAGTCCCACTTAAATGCTACTGCTATGGACCCTTGTGTAACACTAATATGTTGATGTGAATACCAGAGGAAAGGGTTGTTTTTTTAATCATATTTGGCACAAACATCCACTTAGACTCAATGGTGATCTGAATAAAGTGGTCAAAGCTCACTGTGGCCCCAAAACATGTTTTAGCTTGATGATTCATATGCTAGATATGACAATTGACACTAATATTGAATAGGATACAATTAAGAAGTGAGGACATTTTGTCCATACAACCTCAAAGTAATAATTAATGTTTTCCGAGATAGCAGACTTTATATTTTCTGTCTTCTGTATTTGTATCAGTGACTCATATTTTTGCCTCTATTTCTTCTTTTCATGCTGCCTTTTTTTCTTACATTCGTTGACCCTCTTCTCTCGTCTTTTAGGATTAACGAAGCGTCTGATTTCAAGGATCATAAAATCCAAGTAGCCAGCTATCTGATTTCTCTGAAAGTGGAGCCTTCACCCGCCCTATCAGTCAACCTCTCTGGAGCACCACTCATCAAGATTGTCCTCACACACATCCTGGTAAGATTCAACCCTTATGTACCAGTTCCTTTGCTAATTTGACTCATGTCTTTATCGGCCATTTCCTTTCTGTGTTAGTCAGTCAAACTGGGAAAATTGAATGTTTTTCCACTCAGCGGGCGCAGTTATTGGGTGTGGGACGCCCACCTTATCAGAGGAAGGAGGAACTTGGCCTGTCTGTGTAGCCATATCTCCCCTATAAGAAATCTATCAGCTCTATTTTTGGTGTTCTGTTATGTAGGAAGATGAGTGTCTATCAGTCACTGAGGTTTCTGCAGCTTGGCAACTATCAGCACAAAGAACAAACTCTTCTTTGCCGGGCATGTGGCTTTCAGAAAGTAAACTGATTATGGGCATTTAAACTGCAGGCTAAGGGCTCTTTGAAAGGAACAATAATTTTCTTTTATGAACAACATATTTCTTTCTTTGCTGCTTTATGGCAGGAGCTGTGCCAGTTTTCCATGGGAATTGCAGTTGAAGCTCATGATGAAAATTAACTTTCAAATGTGCATCACATCGCATTAGCTTGCAAAAATCACAAATGTGGCAGTGTTCTTCACGACCATGTTTTAATTATTGCACATTAACAAGATTGTTAAGCCATTCTTTAATCTATATTGTGTTAATATCTTATTAGACCATCATACAATAGCTTTAATGAGGCAGTTGACTGAACCCCTTACAATGTGGTTCTGTTTACAACCCTACAAGAATAATTCACTTTCTCTTTAAGTTAAATACCAACACATTTTTTTCTTTCCTAAGAGCAGAAATGAAAGCCATTCAGCTTCATTAAACCATGGCAATATTGCTTTGTTTGCCTTCATTTCACCTTGTGAAATAAATGTTTATGCTGCAATGGTCTGGCTTGGTTCCTGCAACAATGATTACTATGTTTGTTTAAACAGACACCATGGGAGAGAGCTTATACTATCCTTTGTTATTGGAGTGTTGGAGATGCTCACCAGCTCTCCTGTCTGTTGAGTCAAGGTGTTTCTATTTTAGTTGGATTGCCTTTACCTCTGATGTAAGGTTAAACCAGGCTTCTCACATTCTTTCCCCTTTACCCCATTACAAAAAAGCTGTTATACTTATTACTAACGCACCATGCCAGCATATTTTAGCTTAATTTAGGCTGCATAGCCTGGACGGGGATTTTTATAAAGGACCTGCATCGTAATTTGGCACAGAGCACTCTTGGCTGTGATTGCTTCCAGAGAAAGGATTGCAAAGACCTGTTGTTGGATTTTGTTTAAAAAAAAAGACTATTTTTGGAGTTTTAATGTCTTTGGCAGCTGGTGGATACTTAGCACCTCCCTAGCTTGGAGGCAGGGAGGGCGGCTCTCACAGTATGAGGCCGACCTTTCCCGTCATTGTTTATGTCGCTCTTTACTGTGTGCACAAGTTAAACCTCAAAGATGTCCACTCATTGCACCAGTTCAGTGGCCAAGAGTAAGTGATTTGCAACTGACCTCTCCGTTAATCCCCACAAAAACCCAGTGACTTCATTAAAACCTAGCAGGGGCACAGAGTGTGTCTGAAGCAGAAATGTCATCCATTTTCTCTATCTGACACCTGTCTTGATAAAACGTATTGTACAGTGGATTGATGGAGTCACCGACTTGTAAAGAACCTTGTGTCTAACAGGTACCACTCTCTGAAGGTCAAAGCCATGTGGTTGGTGTCAGAGTGACCTCGAAATCTAGATTGATGCCCTCTGAGTACACTGAAACAGCCGGTGAGATCATGCCATTCCCAGCTGAGTCAGTCAGAGCCGAGGTGCCGCCATCCCACATTGTGTGGCAAGGAGTGGGTTTGATACCCAGACAAGGTGTTATCAAGGCTGCTGGAGGCCCACATGCTTTCTCACGCCATTGGGCTAAGGCGTTGATTGGACCCTGGCTCCACAAGTGATTTATTACTACTGTCTGACTCAGGTTTAGTTTGAGGGAGCCTAAGGAGAGAAGAAGGAGAGAAAAGGGAGGGTGGGAAGGCATTGGGGTCTGTAGTTAAGCTTTAATAAATGCAAAAAAAGGACCGACATCTCCTCCATTAACTCTTCTTCTATCAAAGAATAACTCTGATGGTATGAAGTGAATTCATGGATTTATTTAATGAGCAACGTGGACTTATAGGGTAAAAACTGAGAGGATTGAAAAAACTGATTTAGACAAGCTGGCCTGACTTTACAGGCTTATAAAGCAATGTGTTAGGGGGCTGCACGGGTGGCCTTTATCTATCCATAATCAATTTGTATTCATTTATTTCTGATATAATGTAGAACTGCTTGTCATTAACCACTTCTCTATGTTGAATATAAGGCTACAGCTAGCAGGTTGTTATCCTAGCTTAGCTTAAAGATGGGACAGGTCCTTTCGTTCAGAATTTATATCCCTAGTAGAACACGCATTCACACACACACACGCACGCACACACACACACACACACACACACACACACACACACACACACACACACACACACACACACACACACACACACACACACACTGTAACTACTTGATCAATCAATCAATCAATCAATCAATCAATCAATCAATCAATCAATCAATGTTTATTTATATAGCCCAATATCACACATGTTACATTTGTCTCAGTGGACTTCACAGTTTGTACAAAATATCAGTATGACAATACGACACCCTCTGTCCTTAGACCCTCACATCGTATAAGGAAAGACTTCCAAAGAAACCCAAAGGGGAAAATGGGAGAAACCTCAGGGAGAGCAACAGAGGAGGGATCATAGACTGTATATATAAAGGGAGGGATCCCTCTCCAAGGACGGACAGACGTGCAATAGATGCAATTAATGAGACATATTTGTATTTTGTAATATGGTTGTCTACTTATTTGTAGGCCTACTTATTTGATTTGATTACAGCTCTTGCCTCTTTATATAATGTGTTAGCTTACTGACTTTATTTTTGCCTTTCATCTGCACTGTCCCTTTGCTGCTGTAACACTGTACATTTCCCCTCTGTGGGACGAATAGAGGATTTGTGATTCTTATTCTAGAAACGGGGAAACAAATAGCATGGCTCTGTCCAAACTTAAGCAAACTTAACAAAATCGCCCTTACAACACCTCTAAAGCTCACTTATTAACACCTTTACATAAATGTACAATTTGCCGGACAATTTCTTGGCTAGCTGTTTTCCCCTGAGTCTTTTGTGCTAAGCTAACTGGCTGCTAGCGGTCCCTTAAACAGACAAACGGTTTTCATACTCTCATCCAACTCTCTCCCAGAAAGGTATTATTATTCAAACCTTTGCTCATACGACATCTTCTTTTCTACTCACATTCAAAATTAAAAACGTGACATCAACTTTACTTTAGTGACTTCGGCATTTCGCTGTCAGTTTAAATATTCACAAAGGGCTCAGAGAGTCTTCCATCAGAACATCAAAGAGAGTTTGGAGGGAAGTGAGGGGTCCGAACAGGAAACTGGGTGGCTTGTGTTTAAAAAGACATCTAGACCTGTTGTAGCTAGTAGATCAATAGTTCAGAAACTTTGATAATAAACACGCAAAGGTAACGTAACACTTGATATCCTTGTTGTTAATTCTGATATTAGTCCTTCCTGCCACAATAATAAGCGCCCTTTATTTCCAGTCTTTTTTTTAACTCCCAGTACACGCCTAGCTTAAATCCTGTGGGCAAAATATCTCCTTCGTCTCCCCCTCTCTCTCCCCCTCTCTCCCTCTCTCCCTCTCTCTCTCTCTCTCTTTCTCTCTCTCTCTCCCAACCACCCACACCCATACATATACCAACACACAAACACAGGCTGTGTGAGCCAACATGCTGATCAATCACAGATGGAGGTCTGGCTATTGCTATTCCTCTCTTGCCAAAAGATTTAGAGTCTCTCTTTATGGCCCCTCACATACAGCCCTCCCTTTCTATCACCACTCAAACCTCGCGACCACCACCTCCCGATACAGGCAGAGCTTGAGAAGAAAATAGAAAAAGATCCTGATTCTATCCTTACTTTACTTTTTTATTTCTATAGCCTCAGATACAGTTAGGAAAGATTTCGAAGCCTGTGGCTCTTTAATAACTCTTTGTAAACATGTCCCAAAGCATGACAAATTGAAGTTTGTCGATGTCTGGAAAATATATTGTAAATTATATCAACAGCAAGATTACACAAATACATAAGATAACTACTTTCGCAAGGTATCTGCACATCTTTAAAAGTCTAAGCACTTGACAATAATGTTAAATGAACATACATTATTTTTTTCATTTGGGTTATCCTAATTCATCCTTTAGATATAAATCAGAATCAATTGTATGATTAGTAACATTATTTAAATGATTAATCGTTTCTGCATTTTTTAAGCAGAAATCCCAAGAATTCATTGGTTTCTGCTTCTCAAATGAGAGATTTGAGTAGAGTATCAGATGCTTACGCATGTCTTCGTGTAACCTCACAGTTAATGTTATTAATGCATACATTTCATTTCCACAAATGTCAACGACTAAACATGCTTTCTACAAATTCTCACACTCAGTTTTGTAACAAGTTAGTTTCACAGTATTTAATCTCATATATTTCCCCTGTTTGCAAGGGCTCCTAATGCAGGACTCAACCTACAAATGCAAACATGTTCCTAAATAGAAACAGGCCAGAAACCAGAGAAATATTACAGTGGCTTCACGTGAAAGCTTTTGGGAACACATGAAATCATGCATGGAGAATGTCTTTAGTTGTGGGTTAACTTTTAAATGTGTTGTTTTGAGGAATTATTACACGCAGTACAGTATTTCTGTGATGTCAATTGCTCACCTTATCAAAAACATCTCTGTTGTTTCTGTATTTCTTACAGTAATTGTCCCCGGTTCTACTCACACCCTTCATACTTATCAACACGTCTCGTTGTTTTCTGTGTCTAGCTCAGAGACGGAGCTGAGACCACAGCTGCACGTCTTATTACATTCCCCCTGAAGGCATGATCTCATCCAAGGCCGGTTGTCTTTTGCAGCATGGCCTCAGATTGTTCCTCCACATGCTGTATGTGGATCAGCTTAGGGCTCACCTCCGATGAAAAGCCCTGTGATAACAACGCTGAGATCTGTATTCCATCATAGCTACAGGTGGTGTCAGTTTGATGCTTTTATACTTTGACCTTAAGGTGGTTCAATGGTTCAAGTTTTGAGCTGTGGTTGGTCTTTTTGAGCCCACTGGACTGAGTAATGTTACACCATACCTTGGTGTGGTTTTCCCAGACAAGTAAGGGATAATGTGCAGCGAGGTGGTCATTATGGGGAAAAGAATACCCGACAGGCTCATCAGGGATCTTGATGAAAGTGTTCTTTTTGAACTACGTAGAAACGGCAGGAACTGCTTCAATGGCATTTTTGAGGAGCTTTTTGATTATAGATTTGAAAACATCGTTGCTTGCTTTAAAAGTAGCACAACTCATTATGTCAAACCTTGGAAAGTATCTAGATATCCCTGCCCTAATGCCAAAGTAACTGGCAACTGCAATAAAGTGATTCCTTCCCTTACTATATTTAAGAGCAGTCGATGCACGTAGTTAGTTACTCTGTTGTTATGCAGATCATTTAGCCATTGTCAAAACTTTGCTACATTTAAGCCAGCCTTTCTCTTGACTCACATTATAACTTTCATGTTTAGTTCACCTCTATGAGTGTAGAAGATGAGGGGTAGTCTTGAAATAATGTTTTGTCATTGTGTAAAGTGTGGTGAGCTCTAACACTGTTATAGGAAAAGGCTAATATCACTTTCTTATTCACTCACACTGTTGTGCCATGTTTCCTCCCTGCTCTTTAAATTTAGCACAACCAAAGCCTGTATTTAGACTTCTTTGCTCTTTTGCTCTTGTGGCTACATATTCTTGTACTCATTCAAAGAATGAGTGGGTGTATGCAGGACTTTTTACAAGTGATATTTCATATTTATTCAAGGTCCACTCACTAGCTCTTTATTGTATTTAACTAGTTGAAGCTCATGTTCTAGAGCTGATATCAAGTTCTGGAAAAAGCTGAACTGGTTTCAGTATAGCTTGTATTTTCTGTGTTTGTAAAATAAATGCTAATGCAAATGGTGAATACAAAGCTGCAAGTTAATCAGTCTGTTATTGTATGTGTGTAGGCTTGTGTGTGTGTTCATATGTGTACTTGTTTGGTATAACCAGCACTAGCCCATCTGTGTGGAATTGACTGCTGAAACAACATGATGAGGTGTGTTTAGCTTTCTCCATCTTCTCTTTATTTGCGCCTTACTTGAGAACCAGCTGTCAAAAGGCTAAGATTTAAATTAGACTGGAGTTGCCCGATGTCTTGGGATTTTCAGGGACTTAAGCTGTCGCTCTCTGCTGAAGTTGGCCCAACCACATGAGGCAGCGGCTTCCAGCTGTGCCAGTCATGGGAGGCTTGAAAGACACCACAGAGGACGGAGAATCTCGCATTTATACATATGACTAGTTTCTGCATGTCGTCTGCGATTGAAATGCTTTTGTGATGCTTAAGAGTGTTTATTTGTATCCCTCATCATTCAACCAACTCAGTCATAAAACGGAATGGGTTAGAGGGGATATAAACGTCAGCCAGTAGCTCTTCTGTTTATGCTTAGTGGTGGAAAGTTACTAAGTATATTTACTTTAAGTGTTTTTCTTTTATTTGAGTATTTCCATGTTCTGCTAATCCTCTAGAGTTCACAAACAATTGGTAATTCTATAGATTAAAGGTATTATATATGTATATGTGATGTCCCGCCCCTTAGTTTATCACTTTTGTGTTGGAGTGCTAGCCAATAGCAGTGTAAATGTTACATAGTGATGTCACTATGTTACATAAGTAAACAAAAGAGTCCAATGGGTTTCAGGTAGGGGGGAGTGTGTGGGAGAGAAACTCTGAGATCTTAGCCTCTGCAGACCATTTACAGGCACACAAACATATATATAAATACCTGTATATATAAATAACACCATAGGAAAAGGAAAACCCAAAAAGGCATAATAGGGCCCCTTTTAAATCATCACTGTAGATGAAGCTGTGGTTGACAGCTGCACTGAATGGGCCATAGTGACGTTGAAGCACTAGAAACACCTTGACTATCTCTGGTTTATCAGCCCCTTTATCTCTGAGCCTCTCCTCTGTCAGCCTGTCACTCTGTATCACTCTGCTGTCACTAGGTTTCACCCTCGTCTTTCCTTCTTTTTCCTTACGAGGCTCAAAGTGATTTCCAAGGCAGTGTTTGGCGGCTTCTGTGGTTAATAAAGAACTGAAGCGCCAGCTCGAGTCTTGGCTGGTGAATGAAGTCTCAGGGCACCGAGGGAACAGCGGCGTGCGCACACAGAGCTCGGGCAGATCTCCGAGTGCATTTAAACACTCACCAGTGACTCTCAGGTCCTGGACCTCTCCTCAGATATCAGCTGGAAAACACGCTGGATCCACCACAAACAGACAGTTGCTATCGAGGAAGCATGGCCAAACAGCTCTCCTTATGTGTGTGATGGTCTACTAGTTGATGTATATTTTAGCTTGTGAATGATTAATTGTTTCCATGAACCAGGGTTTGCACTTCGAGTTTAATTTGGATAATTAGTCTTTTCTAATTGCACAGGAACTTTAAATGTTCAGTGAGTGTAGAGAGCATGTAAAGCAAGTCTTCCAGTGTGCCAATTACAGCTTTTCTCTCTACCATCTGCTTTCTTTTACACCCAACAAGCAATGTGTCTTATTAAAGCCCACAGGGGAGCAGTCAATTCAGCCAAAGGGTTGCTTGCAGCTCCTCAAAGCTGGTCGCCAGCTTGTGATGACGGGGTGCATTTACGGCGCTATCATGGTTGTTGGAGCCATGAGTTGCCTGCTGGGCCCGCGCATGAATACGTATCCATCCATTGCAATGGCTGAATCTCGAGGGTCACAATACATGATGACAAAAGAGCTGCATGTGCGAAACAGACAGAATGAGAGCAAAGATTTGGTTACACAATGAAGTCAACGTATTCTGCTATGCTTTGTAATATGAATCACGGAGCCTATTGGCATGGAAACAGACAGCCCGAGTGTCAGTTTCACTCTTTCGCTCACTTTTTCCAGAAGGAAATAGTGCAGACACAGTCCATCTAATCACACACTCATTCAGTCTGAGAGTCAAGGCTTGGGGAATGAGAAGAGGTGTGCAGTCTCTCCATGTACGCCCAACCAGCCAAATGAGTGTTGTTTTCTTCAGATGACAGATTGAGGAGGGTAGTGGTTTGACCTGAAATCAGGGCCAAGCCCCAATTACTGCATTCTTGCACTGTAACCATTAGCTCACTGTCTCTGGGGACTCCAAATCTCCTATTAGGGAACGACATGGAAAAAGTGAGTTATAATCAAATAAGATTCTTGAAGACAGAAAGGATTTTCGCTAGTAATTACCTTTGCTGAGTGTCGATCTGTGTCTTTAATTTTAATTTTTGCATGATCTCAGACCACTTTAGTTAAAGCTTTCTTTAATTGGCCTTAAAACCCTAACAATCTTTTTGAATTTTGTATCAGAAGCTTAATTTACTAAGTGTTTTACAACTCTTTAGATACAAAGGCAAATCACACAGTATTTGTTATCTGAGGCTTCTTGAGTTAAGCATTTGGATGGAAAAAAAGCCAAGAGTAGGATGGAAAGAACGCTGCTAATTTCTGTCAACATTTTCCAAGTCATCTTTTTGATCAAAGCACATTTTCCAAAGAGGTTGCTTTGAGCTTTGTGTGTAATTTCATGAGCCAGTACAATCCAAAAGCAAATGTTTTTCTGTCTCAAACACTTTTATCTTGCAATTAACAATCTCCATTTGATTCAACTTTTTTCTTTTTCAGAGCAAGGAACAGCAAGAGCAAGTCCTAAATCAGAGCAATAAAGTGTTCCTGTACTGTGCCTTCTTGGACTACAGGTGGGTCTGTGTTTGTGATTTATTAGCAGTACTGTATGTCTCAATTATTCAGTCGGATGTATAGCCAGATATATTTTTATCTCGATTGTCAACTCCTCGCATATTCTTTACGCAAGTCTAAAAGGCTTTAAATCATAAGAAATTACCAATGATTTGGAAAAGGTGTATTTCCCTTTACTCAAATCAAAAACAGCCAGTGTAACATGTGTTCCAGTTTGGTGTATTTTCAGCAACAGCCCTCTATAAAAAAAGATAGCAGTCTAATAAATGGAGCCAAAACACCATTTAGAAAGCATAAATCATTTTAAAAGGGAGTGTGTTTTAGTTGGACTCAAAAGCTTCCTCACCTTACTCCCCTTTGCTCTGAAGCCCAAGAAAAATGTGAATTATTGGATTTCCCTGTCAGATTGCCCTGCTTAATTCAGCAAAAAAGAAATCCCTGAGTGCCTCCCACAATACATTATATTGAGTGATCTTTGCCAGCATTGTTCCGATAAAAACGTTCTCTGTTTTTTCTGTCTATATATATATATATCTGAGTGTATAGTCTCTATAAATAATTCCTTCTGTCGTCTTTTTCAGTTCAAATGAGGGCGTATGGTCAAACGAGGGTTGTGTACGCTCAGATGGAAACTTGACGTATTCTGTGTGTTTGTGCAACCACCTTACCAACTTTGCCATACTGATGCAAGTGGTGCCCTTAAAGGTATGGCATGTTATCTTCTATTTAAATCTGCCTTTGTATTTTTTTCATCAGGCAGCTGTTCTCAGTCAAAATGCTCTGATAAACACTGACTGTAGTTGGTGGAGACTAAATCAGAGCTAAAAGGAGAGTAAACAACCCAGAAACTCTGCTGCATATAAATGCCTGTTTAACTCCATTTATGTTGGATGTGTAACGGTTAACAGTTATCTGATATGATAAAATGTAGAATGGAGTAATTGATATGTTATGTAGTTATAACTGGTCAAAATGTCTGCTTTGAAAAAGGTCCCATTGAGATTTAATGGTTTTAGGAAAACAGTAACCCTTCTACTACTATTTAGAGGAAGGTTTATCTCTATAAGTGTGTCCTTCCTTCTGTGTCTTTGTCACAAAATAAGCACAGTTGTAGGAATTGGACATGGTTTACCACACAGTAAACCACCAACCAGAAGCCCCCGCCACTTCTGCCTTTGGACAGTTTATCGTTCTTCCTGTAGGTCAAATATAAGCAGACAGTCAAAATGTCGGTTTCTCTGGTGGTTTTATACAGAAGTGCTACGGACAACCATGATTAAGTGTTGTTCTTTTGGGTCGCTGCACAGGTCAGTGACCACACTCTCTTAAAAGACTAAGCTGTCCTTAATAAAACATGTGGGATAACACTCACTCTTTTCTCTGGCCACTGTCCTGCTCAGGATTTTACTTTTGCATTATATGCATGTAGAGCAAATTGTAATTCCACACCTGTGTTCAAAGTCACCACAGTCTTTGCTCACCAAGAATATGAGCTATGAGAGTGTGGTCAACATCTACAATGGCGGCTTTAAATAGAAAGAGGACTTTTAAGCCAAGTGGGCCGTTGCTGTATTTAAGGAGCTGAAGTCTATTTGATGCTATACTTTCCTCAGCCAGTCTCTAATTAGTGGGCTGCCTCGCTCCTCAGCTGCGAGGGAACATCCCACATATCCCTTTTCTGGAAGGCTGAGACTCCTCTGCTCTCGTAATGACAAGGTACAAGTGAAGACAGTTAATGGAGAATCAAACCCAAACCTTTAAAATAGCCTGAAGTCCAAAACAACATCAGTGCTCTTGGCCATACGTCATACTGTACGTGCAAACAAAGAACCACAATCAGTCACTCTTTATCTTCTTGAACAATGCCCTTTTTGCATATCTCTAAGTCGTTGCCAAAAAGCATTTGACTTCACATTTACAGTCACTCCATGCACCTAATCTATGAATGTCTTTCATCTCGTATGGTTTTGATTCCAACATCTGTGTTTTATCCACAGGAGGATTTAAATTGTTTTTATAAGCTTTACAACATTATGCCCAGTCTTGGAAAGTGGACTGCCTAAGAAATACTAATGTGAGACTAAGTATTGTGTTCATTATTTTAAACTCCACAGCGGGGCCCCTTTGAATTGACTGGCTAATGATACAGTCTGAACTAGCTTCGCATTTGCTATGTGGAGCATAATTTACCCACCCACCTTGCACTGTAGACAAAATAATAATGTTTTTAGTTGTCCTGTCCATTGTTGATGTAATGTGTCTCTGCACACAGCTCACCACTGGCCACAGGGTGGCACTATCAACCATTGGTTATGTTGGCTGCTCAATATCCATCTTCTGTCTCGCCATCACTCTGGTCACTTTTGCAGTTCTGTCGTGAGTATCATCATTTTATCTACCTCAATTGTACATCTGTTTCCAAAAATGAACCTGTTGTATTTTGTATATTTAGTTTTGTTCTTGATTTGTCTTTATTTGTATTCTAGTATAACTAATATGTGTTTTTATTGTCTATATTTAATAAGTTAGCTTATTCTTTATTTTGCATGCTTTTCTTTACCTGCTATGCCACTTTTTTGCTATAACACTATACATTTCCCCACTGTGGGAGTAATAACATATTTCTGATGCTAATTTCTGAAAGCATTACAGCAGTTTATGTGATGTTGTGTTGCCTCTGTAGGTCAGTGAGTACCATCCGTAACCAACGCTACCACATCCACGCAAACCTGTCCTTCGCCATCCTGGTGGCTGAGATCTTACTGCTCATCAGCGCCCGCTTTGAACCGGGCACGGTACGTCCACAGTACAGATTATGAAGATGATGATTATGAAGATGAAGATTATTATTTAGGGATGATGGGATGAGTACCTTGTTATTTATTCTAACAATATTCAAATTATTAAATTGAATAATGAGAGTTTGTTATCACTTAATTGATTTATCAAGTGAACTACAGTCTAAAACCAAACATTTAGTTATTTTAACAACCAATTACATTTTAGACTTCTGAAAGATAAAACTAATATCATCTACTTGTGCAACAGAAAGTAAGATAAAGAGATCAAGCAGAACAATGCCTATAAACAGGGGTGCACATAAGTGGTACGCAGGTACGCATGCGCGGCAACAATCTGAAATGCGTACCGTCACTTGTGTCACAAAGCTCATTTGCTTACCGACGTAATTGTGAAGCTTTTCCAGAAGGCAGTTAGATCACCGGACGACAGAGTTGGTTTCCTGTGCACAGACAGGGCTGCTGTTAACGTCGGTCTGTACAGCAGCACTGCGCTAAAAACAGCTGATCACAACGTTCACACGCTCTATGGTCACGAAGCCCCCCCCCTGGAGTGCCAAACACTGACTCCAGGTACTCATCTGAGTACCTCACTGAGAAAGTTGTGTGCACCCCTGCCTATAAATATGAATTCATGCATGAATAAAAAATGTAAAGGAGAATGTATTGTATGTATTGATACCCTGTTTGTTTTTGTTTGTCCCAGCTGCCATGTAAAGTCATGGCTGTCCTGCTTCACTTCTTCTTTCTGAGTGCCTTCGCCTGGATGTTGGTGGAGGGCCTCCACCTCTACAGCATGGTGGTCAAGGTGTTCGGCTCTGAGGGCAGCAAACACTTTTACTACTATGGCATCGGCTGGGGTAGGTCTGCTCAGCACTCTTTAATAACTACACTTAGATGGAAAACCCACATGAAACAAATGCACCTCTCAGTCTATTAGATATTATATCTGATTTTTGCAATGTAGCCTCATTCTGAAGTGACTTTAATGTCATTTCTGGGCTGGCAGAAGTCACTCTGTGAATAAAAACATGGTCCTCTTTTGGCTATGACTTGGTATCCACACATACCTTCCCTTGAGAAGTATCGGATATTGCTCCATAAAAAGACATTACCTTGTCCTCATAAGATCTGCTTACAAATTAGCTTTCTTCCACTACACATCAACTCATGAATGGAACTGTATATTAATGTTCCTTTACACATGAGGGTCAGTTCAGGACTGTGACCATTTCACAGTGGAATATGATATTGGCCTCATTTAAAAAATAATGTGAACAGCAGAACAAGGAAAAACTGGATCTGCGCAGTAAATCCGAATTGAGCACTTAAGCTTACAGTGTGAACATGTCTCCTTTCTTTTCGGTATTTTCCCATTTATGTGTTTAGGAAAATAACACATCATCTATTCTAGAGTATATTATGTCCTTCCTGTACTTCATGCCAGACCCTTACTGAACTTTAGATATGATTTGACCCTTTTTAGGAGACCTTTCTGGTCAAATATAGTTTGTGTGAGTAACTATGAGCCTGATGAATAAATCTGCTTTGAGTTACATTCCAGCATAACAATTGCCTCTTCTGATCTGAGGGAACCGAAGTTTGATGGACAGATAAAAGAAATCCGGGACATACGTATTCTGTCTTTGGATGCTAGGGAATGCAAAGTCTCTCCTTCACATGCTGAACCCATTAGTAGAAAAACGATCCCTTTTTTATTACTTCCTTTCTTCAAGCCAGAGTGATTTTTCATTTTGTGTGGCCAACTGCAAATGATATGCTGGAGACTTGTCTGACAGTGAGAAGTATATTTGTTATACATGAAAAGTAAACACTTGTTTTATAATTAATTGCTGTTGCTATCAGCCGTGATAAAGGCTGTTGACTGCTATATCTTTCATTTCCTCTTCAAAATAACAGCTTCCCTGTAGAGCATGCTGGAAAGCTTTGAGCTAAAACATCAAAAAAAATATATATACTTGTCAGAGAAATTAGCAATGCAGATCCCACAGTTCTGATTGCCGAAAAAAAAATTATTCAGATGTTATGCTTATGGCGGTGTTATATGTCATAGATTAAGAAATCACAATATGTTGCCCTGCTTAGAGTATCATAATGTATTGCAAAATAGTCAATCTTAACCTCTGTTTTATGATAAGTATCATATCCCAAGATTCTTGCAGATAAAAAGCTGATTATAATGAAGCTTCCATGATAAATTAAGCCGATTACGTACACAGTGCAATGAGAGAAATAGGGGTTCGATGAGGCCCCATATCGCATCGCCCTAAAGTTTGTTAATACAGTCAGGTACTTTGTGAGATCTTTAGTGAATGTTTATGTTTGTTTCTTTGTTTATCATCAGGCTCTCCACTGGTGATATGTGTTGTGTCCATGACATCAGCTCTGAACAGTTATGGCGAGGTCGACAAGTAAGTGCAATTAGAAAGATTGTCTGAGTTATATGAAAATCATTTATTCCCTCAAACCTCAGTGACATTGCATTACAATGACATCACCTGTGGTAGAAATTGAATGCCTCATCTGTTTTCAATGTTATTCAAAAGCTTTTAAGTTAACTGTAACTACACATGTCATTCCATATTTACATTACAGTATTATAGCATTACTCGTTGGAAGGGAACATGTGTGATATTTTTTATTTCTCACCCCTGTCTTTGCTTTCTCAGCTGTTGGCTGTCATTGACGAATGGAGCCATCTGGGCATTTGTGGCACCGGCTCTGTTTGTCATTGTGGTGAGGAATTTACAACAATTAGCATTTGTCATTTTTTACAGTTCCCAATTTCCTGCATAATTTGCTCTACAAACTATATGTCGTTGTCATTCATAGACCTGCAGTCTTTTTGATGAGAAAAATACATTATCTTACCTCCTGTGCCACTGTGTTAGAAATATTGTTTTGTAAATAATTGATTACTTCCAGGTGAACATTGGCATACTGATATCTGTGACCAGGATCATTTCTCGGATCAGTGGAGAGAGTTACAAGGTTCATGGAGATGCCAATGCAGTCAAGTGAGTCTATTTGTTTTTAAAAAAAAAAAACATTTCTCTTATTAAAAACTAATAATGGTTTTTTTCTTGCTTTGTTTCAAGGCTGACAGTAAAGGCAGTGGCTGTTCTCCTGCCTATACTCGGCATTTCCTGGATCTTTGGCGTTCTCGCTGTCAACACTCACTCATTGCCCTTCCTGTATATTTTTGCTGTATTCAACTCGTTACAGGTACATTTTTCAGTAGGGGATTTTTCTACACAAAATCTGTGCAGACATTTGTGAAAATTATGCTGAGGTTCACTTTTTCTCCTTCTCTTTAGGGGTTCTTTGTGTTCTTGTTTCACTGTCTTCTCAACTCTGAGGTATGGTGCTGAATATAATAAATGTTTGTGTTAATTTGTTGATGCTTACAAGCTCATTGAGATTTTATAAACTAGAAGAAAGAAGGGAAAATGTTCTCTGTTGCAACCCCAATTTTTTATTTACAGTTATATGATGTCTTCTGGCTGACATTTGTCTCCATTAACTGTTATGACTTCGCTTCTTCCTGTAGGTCAGAGCTGCTTTCAAACACAAAACCAAGGTGTGGTCTCTCACCAGCAGCTCCATCCGAAACATTAATGTGAAGCCATTCAACTCTGACATTGTGAGTGCTGGTGTTAAAGATTTGCTCCAACAAAAAAGAGCTTTTTAACTGCTCTGAGTCTAAATATCATTCTTCCCATCCTCTAGATGAATGGAAACAAGGAGGGCGTGACACCCACCAAGATGAACACATGGGACAAAAGCACCAACTCGGCCAATCGCATCGACCTCTCCGCCGTGTAGAGGGAGAGTGATCTGAAGCTCACTAGTGTAGCACGACAAACACTGGCCAGAGTGTTCTCTCACTATGTTATGTAAAGAATTGGACACTCATCCATAGTGAAACCAATGTAGATGTTGTGTATAGCTTCACCTTTAAAGACAAACAGACTTTAAGGACTGTGCCTTATTATTGTCTCGCAAAAACATATTGTGTTCTCAAAAACAAGAGCAGGGATTTCTGAGGAGGTCAGTTAAAGTCAAAACATCCAGGAGGGCAGTTCAGGGTCTGGGAAGGGCGTTCTGCATCCTGATTTGTTGCATGGTCCACTGGTATATTGCTGTTGGTTTTCTAATTGGCCACAGAAAATGTACGATATAAAGCCATTTGTATTATTATTAATTAAAAAACGTTTTTCAAAAGATTTGGCATGAGTTACACATGTTTGTAACCCTAAAGGGATAAAAAAACAATATTAGTTGAATAAATAAAATCATCTGCTGGCGCCATATTTATTATGCAGATAAGAGACTCGAAGCAATCAGATTTTTTTCCAAAAGGTCCAAATATATTACTCTAAATCAAAAATGATATGTTTTGACATTTATGTTGTCTCACACAATCAAATAGTGCAAATACACCTGCCTGAATTTACTTCAAAAGTTATAAGTATTTGCAGGGTATTGTTGGGTACAAATAAATAAACTTCGATATAATTAAAAAGAAGGAAAGCAGTCAAATGTTCTCAAATATACTGTTATATTCATGCACTATAAACAACAACATAGTGGTTTGACCAGCTGTAGTATGGGATTTTCACAGATTCACCTGATTAATTCAGCTTTAATCCAATATTGGGGACGGCGCAAAAACAACTGAATGAAAATAATGGATGCAGCAGCAGATAATTAGACCATATGTAATTCTGATATAATGTATTTATTTATTGTGTGAATCAGATTTCTGTATCATGTCTTCTGCGAAGTGTCACAGCTCAACAATAGGTTTTCTCATGTTAAATTCTGTCTATTTGTGTTTTTTCCTCTCTTGAAATGAACTGGATTTGCAGTACCTCACAACTTAGTAAGCTGCAGTATGTTATGCTTCTTGAGGAAAAGTGAATACTGGTTGTGTTTTTGACACAATTCTGTGAAGGTGTCTATATACTTCAGTTGCTAATTTCTTTTTAATTTCCATATTTTTTTGTATGATGAAATATGTTTTACAACAGAGGGACTTTATAAGATGGTTTTTTTCTTCTTAAAATACTGTGAGAATGGAGGGAGATAACATAATTTGAAATGTTATTGATCTTACACTGTACCAAAATTAACTTTCCTTAAAGCAGGATTTACTGTAAGTGACTATGCGCTCACTTTTCCTGTCAAATGTAAACATTTCAATATTTCTAAGCTTGTAAAGCCTTTAATGATGGTTGTCTTAAGGTACTATTATTTGTGCTTCCAATTATCTTTATTATAAAACGTTTATGACAAGAAAACAGTGTCATCTTTTTTTCCATGATTTTCACTCATACTCACATTTGTATTGGTTGTAAGCCGTTACATTTAATATAATTTGTTCATTTGTAAATGTGAATTACATTATTATTAATCAATGTTTGGTAAGGATGGCTTTGAAAACAATACCAAAATCTAAAAGAACTTGTCAGTGTGATATGAAATTGTATGAAGACATCCTGTATTATACAAACAACTACTTGTCCATGCAAGAAACAAATCTCACTGCCAAGGAATTCTTTAGAATGGCTAAGGATGGTTTGCGATTTTTTTCAATTTTAATAACACTAAGGTGTTCATATGTGCATGTTTTACGACATACTGTTTCGTTTAAACTAAGGTTTGAGGCAGTCCAGCTTACACAAACAAAGTCGTTGTCTTTGAATATTGTTGGTATCACAAATGCAAGTAATAGGCTAGACAGCTAACATTAAAACACCAGCACTCATAAAACCACACTTGGAAAATGTCTCCTTCTTGATATAGAATTACATGTAGAGTTTATAAATAAGTGTTAACCAAACTGAGACAGTGACTTAGGAGTTTACGAAGTGTCCCTGAAGGCGCCATTACCAAACCTATTTTTGCGCATGCGCGCCGTGAGATATGAACAACTAAAGCGTATGTAGAAAGGTGAGTAAGACAATAATATCTGAGCTCTGTGTCTGAAAACAAACAGCGTTTAACAACAGCAACGTAAGCTTTGAACTTCTATTGGCGCTAACACGTAAAAAGGTCTTTAAATAAGCACAGTATCGCTAATACTTTGTTTAAACAGTTGTTTATTCGTACGCACGTTGTTTTTGTACATTTTGTGTTGACAGACACATGTTGTCATCGACATTTGAAGCTTGTCATGTGTGACGACTTTATTTTCCATCAATGAGATGGGATTTACCGGCAAGAGGGAAGTGCCGTGGGACTGTACGTCGTCTTTAGTTGGACAATCAAACTCCTGAACCTGCTCGGATACTTCAACGCGTTTTAAAAAAATTATCCATGGAAACTATTGGGAAGTTTGAGTTCAACAGGAAAGACCTGATTGGACATGGGGCTTTTGCAGTTGTGTTCAGAGGCAGACATAAAGAGGTAACTTTAATATGTGAGATCAAAAGTTTGTGTTCATTGATAACTGTAAGGATTTTGACGTTCTCCTGCTTTTATTTGACTTTTCTAAGAAACGTGACTGGGTAGTTGCTGTGAAATGTATCAACAAGAAAAACTTGGCCAAATCTCAGTCTCTGCTTGGTAAAGAAATCAAAATATTAAAGGTAATAAGTTGAATTGTAATGTTGCCACACATATGTTCCGCCTCTGTGTATGTTTTTATCTAAAATGTTTTACCATCTTCTCCAGGAACTCAAACATGAAAACATTGTCCGACTTCTTGACTATCAGGTATAAATGGAAATGTTTATTTTTCTCTTTTCCCCTCTCTCCTCCTCTCACATGCATCAGCACACACATATGCTCAGTCACCAAACTCAGTGACATCCATGGTTGAAAAAAAACAAACATTGAACGTCACTTGTTCATGCACTACAGATTTGGCTGTCGGATGTTGTAGTTTTTTTATGAGAGTAGTGAACTCAACGCCCTGAAGTGCAAACTGGTTTTATAACAGATGTATTAGCATTGAAGCATTGAAGCCACACAGCACAGGCCATTAGCCATTTGCTGAGAAGTGTGTTTGTGGGCTTTTATCTTCTCACCTTACTGACACCTGCGAGACAGCAGACAGGGGTGAGCTGATCTCTCACTATTCCTAACAGATGGCAGGGTGCAGCCAGATAAACAATGGATTATAAAACACAGAGTGTGCGTGTGTGTGTGAGAGAGTAGCATCTCACTGCTGACACACACCAGCTTGCAAAGCTAATGACTACACTCACGTCAGGCTGCAGTAGATGGCATTGTCTCTTCATTTACCTGCTCTCTATTATTTAGTGATACATACTGCATCCTAATACACAGGATGCTGTTTTTACAAAATTACAAGAGGTAAATAGTTAAGTTTCACTCCACTTTCTAGCTTTAACTTGATATACAAGTCAAAAACTCATAACTGTAACTAATAACACCATAAACAAATTACAATTTCCCCCAACCCTTATCATCTTGCCGGTCTGTGACTTTTTCCCGGCTGCTAAAATGGGGCGCCAAATACAGTGAGGTGTGTTTGATTATTCAGGGGGGCTGGAGCTGGACAGTAAAAAGTTTGTCAAAAAACTGTCATCTGAGAATAGGAAATGAGTTGTTGTCACTTGTTTAGTAACCTGTTGCACATTGATGGGTTGCTGGTATATGTCCTAATTATCCATTTGTGTTTTATAAATGTGATTAATTTTTGTCACTTTTCCCACTTTCATTCATATTCTTAACATAGGTTTCCAGTCACTATTTGAAAATGATAACAAGCATTGAATCTTGATTTATCAACAGGAAATGGGAGGATGTGTGTATCTCGTCATGGAGGTGAGTATTTTTATAAACACTAAGAGTCTGTGGAAAAAGACATTCAAACCACCATCACTAACAAGGAAGCTTTGTCAAAGCTACTTCTAAGAGTTTTCTGTCTCATCTTTTCAGTACTGCAATGGAGGCGACCTGGCAGAGTACCTCCACTGTAAGTTTGCCACATCCTGCTGGGCTTAATTTAGCTCCGACAGTACTGTAAAGTCTTCAGTTTCCCCTGTGGTCAAAGCAAAATGGGGACATTCACATCACCTCTTGCTGCTGCATCGGAGGGTCTAACCTTCAGTTTGTTATGTGTAAACTTGTATTAGCAGCTTACTGTCGTACAGGCACGTCAGCTGAAATGCCTTTAAGAGGCTTGAGTAAGCTTTATCAGTGTTTTGAAGAAATAATAGGATTTTAAAGAGGCAACGCAGAACAACCACATAATTCAGGTTTCCAACATGTCAGTGGGAAAAGGATCACTAATACTCCCTTTAGTGCTTAGCCCAGATAAAGCTAAACCCCAGGAATTGGCTTGTGATAAGTCTTTCCCTCGAGGTTCTTCCTACAAATTATGTAGAAACCATTAAAAAATGAGTGGCAATAACAACTCCTTTTTAAGATTTCAGTTTATGACTATTCTGAGGACCTTATTTTACCACGTTTGAATTTTCAGAATGATAAAAAACTTTTCTCACTACACCATGACGCCGAAAATGTCCTCTGCCTCAAGTTTCAAACCCTGCTCCAAAATATGATGATGCAACTGGAGTGCAAGGAGTTGATTTTTCCCAGGCTGAATTTACCTCCTCGATCTAATTCTGTCACATTGCCAGCGTCTCTTATTTTTTTAGACTCACCCCTTCTGTGGGCCTGCCAAGGAGGCCCACCTAGCTATTCGGAGAACAACACAGTGTTGGAAAGGTTCACGCAGCACCCACATGACCTCACCCATCTGCCACTTACTTATCCCCCGTGCTCCGGTGGAAAATCACAGCATCTAGAAATACTGGATGTGGGGGGGGCTAGCGTGTCAGACGGCCCTCATATTCATATCCAAATGAAGCCCCCTAGTAAACAAAATTCTCTTCCAAGAAGTATGACAGCAGGGACGCTGATTAGAGATATGCATTTTGACACTGTATGGTGTTACTGTTGTTATTATTCTCTTGATGTTTGATGATTTTTTGAATTCCCCATTCCAATTATGAATCCCCTAAAACATCACTTCACTTTTCAATAGCTCAAGCCAGTTATTATGTGTAATTTGTGCTCAAAAAGGCTCCTTAATAATGACTCAGAAGTTATAAAAAAGTACCACTTAATGTCCTTTTGATTGACTCTTCAATTAATAGTTTATTTTTTTTATTTGGACTCTTAATTTGCTACAACAATTTTTAACCAAGTTTACTGGTCTGTCTTTATGCTTCTCTTTAGATCTTAGAAAATAAAATGCAAAATAGCTATTTATATGTTTCATTAGTCAAATTATCAATTAATATACTCAAGAGGCAACTATCATTCTCCATTTATCAAGTAAACCCAGAATTCAGCTTAGTTTGAACTGTTCCTTAGTTTGTATTACATTGGGATCTGCTAAAGCTTATATATATTTTTTATATAAAAGAGTTCAACCTAGAATTAAATGATAAAATATCAGAATAATAGTTCAGTACAACAGCATGGCTCTTGAGCTTGGAATTCATGTCGCTTCACGCATTCACGTGTAAATACATACCATGCATTATGGTGAACCTTTCATGCACTGCCTTGCTAACTTCCTCTTGAATCCTTTCATGTATCTCACCCCTCAGCCAAGGGCACGTTAAGTGAGGACACCATCCGAGTATTCCTGCATCAGATCGGTCAAGCCATGAAGGTACTGCAGAGCAAAGGCATTCTCCACAGAGACCTGAAACCCCAAAACATCCTGCTCTGCCACCCCGAGGGGCGCAGGTCCAGCCCCAACAACACCTGCCTCAAGATAGGTAAGGACCTAATACTGCAGAGTGTGAGAGGAAGGGAACGAACAGTTTGTCTGTGAAAATGCAATGGTTGATGGAGTTAGTTGATTGCTCACTACACACAGAAACAAACACTCGGAATGTGCAAAATAACAATACAAAATCTGATATTAGACTAGATATTGTCTTATATTTTTGAATCTATAATAGGTAATATGGCACAAGTATTTTCTTTCAGTGGTTTTAAAATGCTGCATTACAGTAACTGATGTCATTTTCTGAACTCACATGTGTGGTGTAGCTGTTTCGTAATTTTGCTTTACCCACTTAGTTATTATATCAACAGTTCTGAAAAATCGTATTGTGTAAACCTTTTCTAAATGCAGCTATAATCAACCCTACAACCACGTTGCAATATCAATGGAGGTACAGTATATGTCTAAACATATTCTGATATTTGATTTTCTCCATCCCTACCCTCGACTGTTTGTCCCTCACCTGACGTTTCCCACGCTCCAGCTGACTTTGGGTTTGCACGTCACCTCCAG